AAGTTTGATTTTTTTTTGCTTCCGTAACTATAATCCACAAAGTAAAATGATTTTTTGACTAAAATGTTCAGATCAAGAGTGGGTTTGAGGAGGGAAAGGACCTTGTTGTGAGTGTTATGTCTGCCATGGGAGAGGAGCAGATCTGTGCCCTCAAGGATATTGGCCCTAAGTAGCTGTTCTTTCGGCAGATAGACGTGTTATAAATTTCATATGTAGATTGCCGAAGGATGATGTGGGAATGAATGTGTTTTTCACCTCTATTCGTGACTCGAATATTTATGACTTTTAAAAGGCTTGATATTTTAGGAGGGCTTCAGTTGTTTTGTTTTATTGCAATTGTTTTTTCTTTTACATGTTTGAATCTGATTGAGGTCTTGAGTTTAAATGATTTTCGAAGTACGACCTTCTTTTTTTTCCATATTCCCTGAACTGTTGTTCTATGCTTCTGGATTTCTACTTGTTATTTCTTACTGTTTGCTTGCTCTTTTATCTCCATCATCTATCCTAGTTCACAATTCACAAATGCTGTGTTAGGCTTTAATCATCTATCCTAATTCACAAATGAACTAATGTTGTTATTGTTAGGCTGCCTATTCTTATGTAAACCTATTTTCCTTTCTTATCTTATAAAGCAGTGCAGTGTGTTTTACAATGGAATATCTTGCTTTTGTTTGTATTATATTTTAGATTATGATTTTTGAGTATTGACTATTGACAATATGTATATTTATTTTAATAGTATGGTTCAATCCTAACAAAAGACTTAACCGATTCTAATTCTAAATATTAAAATATACTTACTATATGGACTACATCCTTTTTACCGTGAAATGAGGAAATATCCATCTAAAACTTGCAGATTCTAACTATTAAAATATACTTACGTCACTTTTTTACATTGAAAACTTTTACCTTCAAATGAAAAAGAGTCCGCCGTCCGTCCTTTCTCATTTGAGGATTTAACAATTTTTAACAAAATAATTGTTTTATGAAGTTTTTAGATATTTTGAATCTGTTGAGAAAAAATTAAATAATTGTATTTGTAAAGATTTTAATCTAAAAAAATCAGCATTTTACACACATTCATTTGAACTATAAAATGAGACTCAAATTTGCAACTAAAATAAAAAGAAGACAGTTGACGATCTACCTAATATGAATCTCAAATTGATGCATTGGATATACTTGTTTCATTCAAATTTTTAGTCTTTAATATTATTCTCATGTGGATTAACATTACAATCATTAATTGACATGTGTTAAAAATAATTGTCATTCAAACTCATAGCATTGGAGATGATCTAAGACAGTTGACGATCACTCGTCGCCAATTTTTTATATTATAGCATTCCAATTTCAAAAGTATATCTATCTATTGAAAAAATATGCATGGTTGTCCAATCCTTAAATTTGCTTAATCAAAGTCTTGCCTGTAATAAAAATGATTTGAAATAATAGATTAATAGTAGAGGGAACAACATCCACAACAATAATAACTTAAATTTAAATCAACCTAAAATATATTACCATACATCCAACATCTATATAAGAACATAAAAATATAGTAAATTAATAAATTTATGTGATTTGCATTAATCAATTCTGCAAAATCCCCAAACTCCATAAAGAAAAGCTTTGAACATTTTCTATAAAATGACCAAGAGAAGGTGGGGCCCACTCCAAACCTCACAAAAACATTAACAGTTATTTAGGAAAATCTTAGAATGATTAAACCTAAACTGACTGGCAAGTGGCAACCCTCCCTATCTGTCTCCCTTTATGATTTGTGATTATTTTCCTGACAGTGACAGCAGTCTTTATCCATGAAAGAAAAAAATAATCTAAAAAGCAGCCAAAGGAAGGATAGAGTATAAAACAAATGTCACCAAATATTATGAAGACAAATTTTGGATTCACTATTTTTTTATAATTTATTTACTGATTAGTATAAGAGTACATAACACTCATATTGAGTAGGGCTCATCAAAAATAAAAAATCAAGTGGACCTCACTCCATGTGAATATGAATGTTATGTAAATCTTTATGTAAATTTATTATGTACATGTAGCATTTTTCTTAGTATAAATATTGAACTTTATTTTAGAGATGATGTATTAGGCTATATTCGGTAAATTTGGTTGATAAGTTAGCTTATCGCTTTAAAGTGAATTTTGAGTTTATAGTTGATAACTTATGACATATGGGTGAAAAGCTAGCTTATATAATAAAATATTTAGTAAAATTAGTTAATAAGCTAATAGAAAAAAAAAATAAAAAAAATTCAATGGATTTATTTGAAAAGTTACCCAAGAAAGGTTATCATATAAGCTCGAACGTTTTAAAAAAACTCTTCCTATCAAACTAAATTTATTTGAATTCAGCAAGTTTATAAGTTAATCAAATAAGTTATAAGTTAATTTATATATTTATCAAACACAACTTAATTAAGACTTCGTTAATTTCAGGAGTCATGTTACATTATCATATTTATTTACATATTGAATTATTAAAAATATACCTTATAAATAAAATACTTCTCTAGTTTGTGGCAATCCAAATCATATCGACCCAAATGTGTAAAGTATCATCTCACGTTGACTAATCGTATTATTTTTAACTGCATGAAGAATTTTAGTGGTTTTAGGTTGAAAAATGATTACGCCTTCTCAAATTGGTGCATTTTGAATTATTAATTAAGATATAGACTAAAGTTGCGGGTGCATTATTTATTTGAAAAAAAAATAAAAATATGTAAAAAAAAATAAAAAAATAAAAAAAAAAATTGGTGGAAATCAATCAAACACACGGATTTTGAAAATCCGTGTTTCTAATTAAATTTTTTAATAAAAACACGGATTTTCATAATCCGTGTTTCTTTTTTTTTTTTTTTT